TCGACCAGACACTTCGTGGTTCCTGTAAGATGGGGGCCCGACCACACCTCACCGAACAGGTGTTTCAATTCCTTGAGGAATTATTCTGGGATAGGGTTATTGCTTTGGGCTATTCCAAATTTACTGAAACAGGCATGGATTGGCCTCCATACTCACCCGATCTTACCCCTTGTGACTACTTTTTGTGGGACACATTGAAGGGCACTCTCTTCCAGAAGAAGCCTGCAACACTGGACGAGCTTGAAGAGTCGACCTATGAGGCATGCACATCCATTTCTGTTGACACACTACGGGAAGTGTGTGAAAATATCATTCTTCATTTGCACCACCTTTGTACTGCAAAAGACAGACATTTTGAAAAGACTGTGATGTAATTGCAATGACAGATTGCAAAGGATATGTTTGTTACATTTTTTTAGACTATGACTACAGTGTCATCTATTGGTAACTTTTATAACTAAATGTGAAACTTCTGTATCAGATTTTTACAGCTGTCCCAGTAAACATACCTTTTGTTTCATTCTTCTATCAATCTTTATTTTCGAGTTGTTCAATTTTAAAAACAGGTCCTTTGTGAGACACCCTGTATAAACTCTACTAATTTGACGGGATTCAAAGATGATCACCACAACAGCAGTGTAGAAATAGAAGCAACAGAAGAGTCAGAAGGTAGTTTGCATTCACCACCAGATAATGTAATTGTTTTGTCATATGAAATTGTTGATTTTGAGAATATAGACATGGCAGAATTTGATCTTGTAGAGGTTCACCCTGGAACATCCAGAGAAAACAGTCATCAGTTTTAACGTCAGTGGTGCTTGTACTCGGTCTCCCAATTTCACTTCTAGAATTGTTCAACATTTAATTCAGACAGAGCTTGTGTCTGTAAGTGAAAAAATTTAAAATTTCCTATTAGTGAAACTGGTGGATGATTTAACTATTCGTATTTTGTACAAGGTATTGAAAAACGGTGAAAAAGCCAAATGAACTTGGCTTTTACATTCTGTTTCATTAAATTTCCTGTTTTATTAATTAATTTTATCATGTTTGATTAATTTCATTAAATTACATTGTTTTCATTCTGCTGTCTTTTGCTTTCCATGTAAATTATTCAGAGGGTCCAGAGAAAATTTTCAGCATATTATTCTTAGTTATAGAGACTGGCATCGTTGCTCTAACTATGTGTTTAGACATGAGGATAGTGAATAACACATTAGATAGAGAATAACAAAACTTCTTTTCATTGGAAAAGAAATTATGGAGAGCAGTTATCAGATGATGAGCAATTATCAACAATTGCTATTGGGCAATTTTTGATTAGCCAGAACTTAGTCTATACGAGAAAAAAAAAATGTGGAAATATTTTAAAAGCATTGGAAATAATGGCCAAATTTGATCCTGTTTTATTTGAACACATGAATAAAATCCAAAAATCTAAGAAGAAAAATATCCATATGCCCTCATTATTTAGTTCAAAATTTTAAAAAGGAAATTATTGCACTTTTAGCTGATTCTACTATAATACAGATTTCCAAATTTATTATTATAACTAATTATATCAAATTGTCGTCAAAAGTAGCCAATCCTCCACTGTTAATATGTTAGTACCAAGCAATTTATGTAAATTTTATCCGTTCTTTTCTATTTATTGTTGTGTTGGATCAGAATTTCTTAAACTGTAGGTCACGGGACCTGCAGCACAGTATCGTCAAAATTTTTAGCAGTTTTGATATTTCTTTGACTTATTATAATAATTTTACAATTGCCAAATATTTTTAATCAGTGTAATTAGAAATAGATAAAGATAAGACTATACAGACAAAGAAAAAACGCAAAGTTTTGACGCATTCTTTTTATAATATAAAAGTTCATTTTACTTGCTTTGCACGTGACGCTGTCAATTTGTCAGTTACTTATTTAAAATTTTTACATTGCTGTATGTCTTAAAATTAGAAATTAAAATTAATGACCTAAAACTGCAGTAGTGTATTAAAGTGCAAGTGAAAAAATTGACGGTTTCACTCATGCATGTATTGGATTTGCGCAATGGTTATGGAGGTCCCCCAAAATTTTCATAAATATTATGGGGTCATGAAAAAAACTCGGTGATAAAAAGGGCTCGCGACTGAAAGCAGTTTAAGAAGACCTATATTAGATCACTGTTAATAATTTCTTATAGTCTGTCTCCTGTCTAAATTTACATTGTCTTACATGTAAAGTAGTCGCTGAAAGTATTGATGAAGCCACAGGTCGTGTTATCAGAAGTATTTATGTGACAACACAGAATGTCAGCAAAATGTATTTATGTGGCAACCCAGATATGTGTGTTTGAATACATGTTGATTTGCATATTTGAAGTTCAGCAGTCACTTTTCTGATTAGTATTTCTCTTTGCACTGAGTACATTTGTTTTTATCATAATGAATAACAACTGAAATGAAACTGCAGAGTTTGCTGGCTGATGAAAAAGAAGTGCTGCATTTCTTCAGAAATGTGGCATTTTTCCTAACTATAGAGAATGAAAAAAATTCATACTGTATGAAGCTGTACTTCTTAAACAACTGTATTTTATGGATATGCAGTGTGAAACATTTCAGGTAGAATGTTAGAATGTGAGTTGGAAACTAGTTTGAAAATAGCTGTATCTCATTTACAATAGCTGTTTGCTTTATTTATTGTAGGACAAAAGAATATATGTTGGTGAAATTCTAATACAACATCAAACACAACTATTGATGTAATTTTTTGTGTACGGTTAAGAAGTGTCCATGTCATCTACAGAAAAAAAAAAAAAAAATAATAATAATTATGATGAAAATAGGTGGCGCTGAATGCATCATTGAAATAACATTTTGGTTCTTTTGCGTTTCGCCGGCACAAATCTTGCCAAGCAGACTTTATAGGCGACAGTATACACATAAAAAAAGTTAACAAATTGCTAGTTCTAACAATTTTTTATTTTGAAGGCATAAAAATTTTAATATCATGTAAAATTTTGTAAAAAGACAATAAATAAAGACAATAAATTTGTAGAAAGACAATAATTTAAGAATTTACTATGCTTTCATGGTACAACATTCTGATTCGCCTATTCATATCACGTGACCCCAAGTGATATCATCTCACGTGAACTACACTACAAAAATATAATTCTCCCGGTAATTATCTACATTAATTTCAACTTAAATCTTAATATGGAATACAAATTTAAATGCAAGAATTATTTCAATTCGTACGAACAGCTTACGCAGAAATTATGTAAAACTGCAGTGCTTTAATTCGCTAGTGCATTGTCACTGGAATGGATGAATTTAACCCTTGACTTTGCCTTTTCTGTATTTTCGCCTTCGGGTGAGCGGTGTGATTACATCCTAATTGAATTAATTACCGCGAATGGCTTAGGCATAATATTGAACTATCCGGTACAAATTCTATGTAATTGTATGCCAGTATTCAAAGAAACAATCAATCTGATAAGAAATGTCTGCGACTTGTTTTGAAAATGAGGCATAAAACGTTACCAACGAGGATATTCCGTTTGGCATCGGCAGTACCAGCTTTAACGACTTTATCGCCTGTGCCGGCAAAATGGAAAAGTACCAACATTTTTATGTAAAGTTTAATAATACTATAAGGAAATCAAAAATAGTAAATACAGTCAAAAGTCATTAATCCGGACTCGTTGGGACTTTGGAAATTGCTTCATTTTATGTGATAATACTTTCTCTTTAAGTCTATAAACAGACATAATTTCTTGTTCAATTACAAAGTTCCGCTGTTCAAGTCCCGTTAATTGCTGTGCCGAGAATACCGACTAACTTGTCAATCGAAATTTTTTCGTTTTCACTAACATCTCTGTCACATTCTTCATGTCTTTATCCATTTTTTGCAGCAATTCCACTTTTTGTTTGATGGACGTCAAAACATACTTTCGTTTTGTACGATCCTTTGGGAGCTCCAAAATCGGAAATTCTATTTGACATAATCGAAAGTTTACTTTTATAAAATTGTTCTTACAGTCTGCAAAAAATAATAAGCCGGATCCAATTCGAAGATTAAGGAACAACGCAATCATCAACATTAACTGAAATAGATAATTAGATAATTTTACCTTATACCGTCTGTTATACATAAAACACGCACGCGAAAACGTATTCTGCGCTTGCGCACAGGCATATGCACAGTCTTAAAAGCGCGCATGCGTAAACGCCTATGCGCATGTATCAACGCGGCGCATGCGCAGAAAGTTTTTAGCTTTGAGGTCCGGATTATTGGTGTCCGAATTAACGACTTTTGACTGTGTGTGCTCTTAAATTATATTTGTAGCATATCACCAAATGAGTGGAGAAGAAAATTTTTGTAATTAAAAAGATCTTTTCTTGCTAAAATTTGTAAAACATGTTGTCAGTGTTACTGCAATATTTTGTATCCACAAAAGTGTCCATTTGAAGATTTAAAGCAGAATTTATTAGAAAACAATGATATCTAGTCTCCTACAAAAAGTCATATGTATCAGAAAAAGAGGGGAGTAAGTACTAGCACACATAAATATTTCCCCATACAGCTGTATCCCCAATAAACCTATTGTCTTTTCTGCATCTCTTGAAAAGTTAACGATTTTGACTCATGATCTTTTGCAGTCAGAACAGCAGTATAGCATTTTGTCATTGACTTGATATTCTTTAAACTAATATGAACTTTTATGATTCTCATGCCATATTTATTTGCATTTGTTTGTTGTTGCCATGGGCCATACTTCATAGTTACTAATAAGCTATGAATTAACACTTTTGACTCATTCCATTGACTAACATGTCAACTGAATCCAGCCTGCTTTAATATTTTTGTCAACATGGTGGAATTTGATAAATATCTGTTGATTGTAAGAGATTTCATAGTAGCATTATTTATATATGACTGGCAAATGTGATAAAGCAGTCTTAATTTCTTTTCTAAAGTGATTTTTTTTAACTGTAAAACTATATGATTTATTTTTTCAGAGAGATGTGTACATGTACTATGGCCTTACAAATTATTATCAAAATCACCGTCGTTATGTAAAGTCTAGGGATGATGCACAACTACTTGGAGATATTACAAAACAGCCATCTACTGATTGTGTCCCATATGATGTTACAGAAGATGACACACCCATTGCACCTTGTGGTGCAATTGCTAATAGCTTGTTTAATGGTATGTTTATTTCTAATCCAAAATTTTAACTATTTTTTAATATTAAATAAACTAGAGCTTGAGTCCAGTGATACTTCATCACATTAAACATTCGTCACTTTTAATGGGTCACCTTAAATACCCACACAATTTTGCACACTGTATTGATTAAGTAAATACTTATTTTTTTTAAAAAAATTAAACAGAAATTCAACTTTAAAGCTTACCTTAACTATTCTGTTAAGTATAGAATAAAATAACTATTTGTGATAAAAAGTTTGTTTCATGCATTATTGTTATGTTTTGTGGCTATTAATTCCACTCTTACTTTTTCTTCTGCCAGATTGAGGGTTTTTTTTTTTTTTTTTTTTTTTTTTTTTTTTTTTTTTTTTTTGAATATGAAATAGAAAACAGCTGTCAAATTAAAAATATTCTGTGTGTATGAGCTTTGAAGCAGTTAAAGGATAGATATTTGCAAATGTGCGTTACTTCTACAGCTATCAAGATAAAAAGAAATTTTTATTTTAGGGAACATAGGTTCATATGGAGGGGGGGGGGAATTTAGAAGAATGTTTTTTCAGTTGCAGAGTTGCCAACTCTTCCAATTTAGGCGGGAGACTTCTGATTCCTGACCATAATCCTGCCAGCCTGATTTGCAACATATTTCGCTTGACTTTCTCTTATTCTCAAAATTTCTCACAATTTTTATGTAGCTTGGCTTAATATTTCATTATTTGCCCCCCCCCCCGAAAAAAAAATTATTTTTGGTGTCTAATAGCACGTGTTTTCTCTCTAGATACATATAAAAGAAAACTGAAGTTTTTTCATCTGTAAGATATGTGTTTTTGCTTTGTGTATGACAGTCTAAAACACATGTTCGAAAATGTCATGTTTCAGTTTTCCAATGAGAATCAAGCGCTACTGTGGTTCATCTGACATATGTTAGCCAATGTGCAAAAAGCAAGATCAAGGTTGTTATGTCCTTCATCTCGCCAATGAGCAGCATTCCCCAATAGTTTCACGTGCTTGCCAGAAACAGTTTAAGAAACTGTGATCTTTTATCGTAGTTATGTCTGCGAAAAATGTAAAATACTCATGTACTTTTCAAAAATCATACACGGAGGACTTATTTCATCAAGGAAATGTAATATTGCAATGTGTACCATTTGTCATTGTGATTTTTCAATTTCTCATGGTGGAAGGGCTGATGTTCTCAAACATGTGCATATACAAGTATAATGTGAATTGTGTTGGAAAAAAAAAAAAAAAAAAAAAAAATTTTCTGGGAAACAAAGTACTAAAAAGTTATTAATGCAGAATGCCTGTTCTCTGCCTTTTTACTAGAGCACAACCTGCCACTGATGCATCAGAAACATGCTGCAACTTTATTTAGAAAAATGTTTCCTAGCAGTGAAGTCACTAAGAAATTCTGAACTGCAAGAACCAAAAATGCTGCAATTGCTAAAGAAATGGGTACAAAAGGCAAATCTTCAGTTATTGATTGCATTAAAATAGTTCTATTCTATTCTGCCTCTCTATAGATGGAAGCAATAGTATTTATTGATGCAAAACTATATCCAGTTGTTCCTTTTTTTTAAAAAATGCCTTAAGTAAATGGAGATGTAGTTATTACTTTGCTATTAAAATTAGATATGCGAAAATTAAGTAATTTCTGCATCTGTGAGCAATTTAATTGGCAGTTCTCAAAATAATAGCATAAAATATAAGTGTAAAGCTCTCCCAAAATTTAAAAAAAAAAAAAAAAAATCACTTGACAAGGGACACATTTTTCGATTATTGCAAGTTTATCTTATGAAGAACGAATACTTATCTTTTTGTCTTCAGACCTTAACTAAGCTTTCTGCTTTTTTTATGATGCATTTTGCCATATTCATTCCATGTTCACAATTCTATAATGCAGATTCCATTAAGTCATGTTTTGAAATCAGTGATTAATGATGTGGTTAAAGTTAATGATTAGGGAAACTGATTAGAGTAATTTGCTGCTGTTAGAAGGTACAAGTAATAAAACTATTCTTTTTACATGTAAGTATTTTTGCATTACTTTCATTTAAGAAATGGTAACTGAACTTTCAAATATTAATTAGTTACTGTTTAAAGTTAATTCATTATTAAAAAATATTTTTTCTTTCTATATATTTTTATTACTTAGAAAATATTTTTGTCATTGAAGAAATTCTCTTCATTTCTTGAAAAATTCTTCTGATCTTTTAGGGTCATAGGTTGGCAAGTATTCAACTGAAAATCTCCTTTAAAATGTGAACTTACATCTAAGATCTGGGTGGGGATATATGCAATTAAAATCTTCCTTAAAATGTAAACTTACATGTAATATCTGTGTGGGGGGGATATATAGACAGAATAAAAGTGTGTAGTAAAAAATCATTTTTAACAATGTATAAAGGAATGAATTTCATTTGCTGCTTTTGTAAATTTTTAAGAGAAAAGGTATTTAAAAATCAATATTGGCATACATCGAGATTCTGTGAGTCATTCAAAAGTCTTTTTAAACATGATATTCTTCTGAAAGGTTTTTGAAAAACTGAGCTTGTTTTAGCCTTTGTTTTAGATGTATCATCTGTAATGCTGCATAAGGATGGAAGTAAAACTCTTAAGAACAGAATGCCTTTTGATGACTGTAGCTCAGAAAACTTTTTTTTAAAACTATAATATTCATGAACAAGCTGAGAACAGTGGGAAGTTACATAAATGCTTTTATTTCATGTAAAGTTAGTTGCCTAGTCAAACATTGACATGAGGACAATCACAGTGATCTAGATAATAAACCGTGACAAAGCATTGTAATGTGATGCTTAGGCTGGTTGTGTTTCTAACAACTAAATGGAGTTATTTAACCTTACAGTTTTTCCATTAGGCCCTTTGGAAATAAAAATGCTTGCAGCATTAACCCAGTTAAACAGGAGTCTACAGTGTAATAATAATGATAATCTGATATGACTGTGAGATTTTTTACATTGTCAGCAAAAAGTGAATCGCCACTAACACATTTTAGATGTGCACATGTTAGAAAGTTTTGTTCGCTTCTCATTTAGATAAACAATGGTACTTTCTGATGATTCACATCTCCTCAAAATGTTTTCAACTAAGCAGTGAAAAACATTTGTTTGGCAATTTTTCTGGTTCATAAATATTCTGTTCATAAATAATAATAAATTAAGAGGCTATTGTGACATGTATACTCAGTGCATGGCAGTTCTCCTAATTGTTGAAAGTGGATATGTAGTTAATCAGAAAGTATTCAAATAAATTATTTCAAGTTTGTTTCTGAACTTTAAAATTCTATTAAGTAGAATTCCTTTAGTAATTTTGTTGCATATGTTTATTTCATTTAGTGATAATGATATAAATTTATGTCAATATTTGCAGATATGTATTTTTGCATTTATATACTTAGTAAGAAATTTTATATTAAAAACTGCTTTTAGCTATGAAACTCTGGTAAAGCTAGAAATGTTTACCTTTGTAATTTGTTTATGTTTGGGTCATTTCTTGAGTGCCTAGAAGCTTTGAGTTGTTTCATTGTCATTTCTTACTTTTGACCAAATTTTCGTATGAGGTAATTTTTTTAATCAAAACTATTTTTGATATAATATACTTTTATCTCATTTTAAAAGTCATATAGTTTACATTCACTGTTAATTTCATCAGAATTTTTCTGGTAGTTTTTGTTTACCGTGTTTTTTAAATTACCATGATTTTTTTGTTCTCAAATTTATGGCTACTAGCATACATTGTAGATGATATCAGGAAAAATTTTGGAGAAAAAAAAAAAAAAAAGAAAAATATTTTTTATGAAAGCTTTTAAATTTTATATTATGCCCCAATGCGCGTTTTTATCATTTACAGACACATACACATTTCGAGAGCACCATTTTGGCTAAAAATATTTAAAAACAGTATATCTTTAGAATTTACCATAGACAGTCTCGCACACTGGAGATAAAAATGTTTTATTCCCTACAGTGTTACCACTGCTTGATTTGAAATTGTTGAGTTTTTGATTAAAGTTTTACAAACTGCAAAATAGACAATAAAACAAATTCAAAATTTGGGCTTACAGGTGGCCATGTTCAGGTAGAGCTTATTAAAAATTTAATGACTATAGATACCATTGTTTTTCATAATGCAAGAAATATACTTTAGATTCTTGCCAATTCTGCATTACTTAGTTTCTTAAACTATAACACAGGGCAATAATGTTTGGTGGCAACAATTTGAAAAGTGATACATCATAGTTAAGTGGTTCAATTTAAAATGCTGTTTTGAGACTTTCTGGGCTAATACTCCTTTAGGCTAAAGAAAGAAAAACCTTTTTTTTTTTTTTTTTTAAATATTATTTTTGGAAAGTTTATCACTCTTTTTAACTTATGTGTACCGCTAGCAACTTATTACTCAAAATTATTGTTACAAATTGTGTAAACTATAAGGGTATATTATTTATTTAAACTTTAATGGTTATTAAAAATTATTAACAATAATGGTATATTATTTTTGATATTATATGTATTGAAAAGTGTTTAAAGCTTATTTTTAAATATATTTTTTTTTAATAATTTTTAGATGAAATCAAGCTGTATTTTATAAAACAAGGTCAAAGAGAAGATGTAGAACTATTGAAAAATGAAATTGCCTGGCCAACAGACAAAAAAGTTAAGTTTCGAAATCCACCAGGATTTGGTACAAATCCAGAGAAAGGTATGATATTAAAAAAAAGGTCAGAACATTTATAATGTCTTGAAATAAATGGTGAATTTTTGGTGGAACATTGTTATTTAAAAGTATAATGGGACTATATTATGCATCTATAATTTCCAATCTAAATGAGTGGACTGTATAAAAAAAAACAGTGACAATTTGACTCACGGTAATTACTACTTTCAGTACTACTATATGTTTAGCCGAAACCAGTGCCAAGTGAGAGTTTATTTCTCACTACAATAGGTGGCACAGTATTCTAATGTAACAATGTCCAACAATAAAAGTCTTTTTTTTTTAAATTATTGATAAGTTATAACTTTTTTAAACTTTCAAGCATTTTATAATACTTTTATGCTTTTATTTTTTTCCCCTTAAAAATTTTAGCTAGGTTTTGATTTTGCTAAAAAGTTTGTATATTGCTTGTTTAAAACAGTTTTTTTTTCCCCTAATTACTATCCAAGAATGGCAATTTTATGTAAATAATTTACTATTAAAAACTTTTCTGTGAAAATGAAAAATATGAAAGTCTTATGTGAGATATATTTTTGAGTTCTTGTCCTGAGCGTTTAGTGACAAAGTGCTATGGCAACATGATCTGAAATGACAAAATGTCTTTTCTTCCCCCCCCTTCTGCCTGGCTCCAGCTTTTTAACAGGGTTCGTAGTGGTCCTTACAAGTCCTTATATTTGAAAATAAAATATAAAGGCCCTTATATGTGCTTACTTTTTCTTTAAAGCCCTTATTTTTTTTGTTTTTAGTGCTTATTTTTTGCTTTTAGTGCTTCTTTTTAATCTTTTGTTTTTAATGAAAGCGCATTTTTTCCCCGTACCAAAGCCGAAACTAAATAAACAACATTTCTTTCTTATATGCAACATCAGATGGTGAATCATACTCCCGAAAATAGCTTTCCCCCCTTCCTCTGCATTAACGTAATCTATGGTGCGCGAGAGAGTACAGACAGGTGCACGTCGTTCTATTGGCCAAAGAATTGCGAAAACGTAGAAAATTCCGTTACATTCGGTGTTCTTCTCCTCCCAACCAAATACTACACATGTTTGAATTTCTATCAAGATTTTAATAATTTGCATTCTCATCCCGCGTGGTCAGTTCATATTCGTGTTTATTATGATCGTTATGCTTATATTATCAGCATATGTATGAATATTTATAATAGTATAGTTGCAGTAACTGCTGAAGTATAGATAAACTTCCAAAAATGGGTGTGTTTTTACACAGATTAGCTTTCTAAGGAATAATATTCGGAATGGCTTAAATAAAAGGAAAGTAATCGAATAGTCAAAATAATTTCATTTTCTTTGCCAATACATTATACAGTACGGAGGTTGGGAGTTTCTCCGCAAAATCTCTTAATATTGAAGCAGCGGACTTTTTTTGGTCACTGTCCAATCTGGATTGAATAGGACTAAAAGTTTTTGCGGTCTACCCAACCCAAGCGAAGATTGATTCTATTCCGAAAATTTAATACAGTTTGTTGAAAATTAGAATCAGAAACACCCCAGATTAGTAAGTCTCTTTCTTTTCCTTTATTTAGTTCTTTTTTCTCCGAATACCATCAAGTGTTGATTCCGATTGTGTAATATCCCATATGGAAGAATTACGCTGCACGTATTGCGCAATAACGTTTGCGGTATTTTGCATTTATAAATAATTTTGATGTTCAGTCTGAGATTTGTTTATGCACACTTAAAAGAGTTTTACTGTGCTTTCTAAGCAGAATATTTCTCAGTTCCGTTGGTTTTTATATGATGCACATATCGAAATGTCAAAATAATTTATTTAGCTTAAATTTAAATCTAAAGAACAGCTACAATCTCTTCCACTCCTCTTTTTCCAGTTACTATCCGGAATATTCAGGAATTTTCAGGAATTTCGAGTATGGGGGTTAGTTAAGCTTTTACTGTTAAAGGATGACTGAATGAAGCAATTTCCTGTCTTCTGATTTCAGAAATGTGCCTCTTTATTACTTAAATTACTTTGCTTGGGATATATGTTAAGGGAAAACTGTTATGCAATGAAAATTTAGAAAATGTTCAGAATTTTGATTTAAGTTAAATTATTTAAATATTAATATGAGTGGAAAAATAAATTGTATTTATCATTAGGTGCCAAACGAATACAATTAAAATGGCTTATTATTATTTATTTTCTATATTTTCAACTGAAATATCATCATTAAATTTTGTAATATAGTTTAGTTCTGCATAGTTTTTTTTCTCTCATTGTAAACTAATTCTGTAAATTGAACTGTCATTTAAAATTAAAAAAAAAAAAGTTAATTGTTTTCCATTCTTGAGGTAATGCTCATTCTCTTAATAAATATTGCATAGCTCATATTTTAAATTACAAGTCTAATTTTTCTTTTAAGGTTATGCAGTTGTGTATAATGTAATTAGACAGGTGCTTATTTTTTTAACTAAAATGTGGCTATGAACCCTGTTTAAGTACCTAGTTGATCAGTACCATTGGTGCTGTGCTCACTTTATGACAGCAACTCACTTTGTACCTTTTGAAAATCAGCATCCTTCCTATGCTTGGAGCCAGTCATGATCTGAAGCATAATATTTATTCATGTAATATAATATTTTGTGTAATAAATTATGTTTTTTAGAATTTGGAAACATTATTGTTGTTCTAAAAAAAATCCAGTTTTGTGTATAACCCGGAAATGGAAATCATGATTTTTTTACTTCTAGTTAAGTGCAAACAGGATTGCCATGCTAACTGGAAAACTGGAAAAAGTTGGGGAATTTGAAAATTGACCAAAATAGTCAGGGTTTAAATATTTTAGTCAAAATCTAGAAAAGTCAGGGTATGGTGATCCCCCCCCCAAAAAAGCTAGTTTTGCAACAACGTTGGAAGTGAACACTTTCTTCTCGAATTATGTATCACATAATTCGAACATCATTCAGGCTGCTGGCGTAGAGCTAATTTTCGCAGCTCCAAGCAAATTGTCTTTAGAAAGGCAAAGCAAGTTTCCTGTAACCTCGAGAATAGAGAGACTCACATGTGCATGTTGAACTACAGAATATACCTTCCCATTTTTGTATAAAACAAAATCGGTTTAATCTTAATATGTGGCACACATGAAATTTGGTGACATTATGATGAGCAGTAAACGGGTCATTTTGCTGTTGGCGACAATTATCAAAATCGTGCCAAGGCCGTAGTGCATGCTAGGATTTTACCATAAAACTTTAAAAAAATTTTTTTTTTTTTTCTTTTTAATGAATAAATGTCTTACTTGTCATTTTGCAGTAAAATGAAAATATGATAATCAGTCTTCTAGGCTAGCTGTTTAATATAACTATATTTGCCAAAATATGGTTAAGTACTGTAATTCAGTTTTTAAATAATAAACTTTAATAGTATTCATACAATTTAATGTGGCTCCTTTTCTCTAAATTTATTTATTATTAGTTAGTAATACTTTAAAATTTCAGGCAATTTGCTCTGGCATAATCCTGAAACTAATTCTAGCAGTATGATGACATACTATCACAAAATTTAATGCACATGTATTTTGCTTATGTATGCTACTAAATAAATATAAAATACCTGAATTTATTTAAAAATATCATTAACTAGATTTCTTTCTTTCGTTTAGCTGCAAAATATCTGCAAAAAAAAAAAAAAAAAAAAAAAAAAAGGCATTTTTTAATGCAGATTGAGCAGATTCTAATCTCAATCTTCAGTGGAGAAAACAACTCCTATTATAGTTATAAAAGTAATCCTTTGTGGATTATATATGTAAGTCATATGTAATTGGCAAATTTTTGTGTTTTCAAGTGGTACCATAATTAATGTTCTAGTTCTAGGCGCTATGTGGATAAGCTAGAATAATTTTCTTAAAACACACCTGGAAAAGTCAGGAAATTTCATTCTCATGTTTGAGTGGCAATCCTTTGCAAATTATTAGTGATGAACCTGTGTTGGATATTTAGTAAATCATAAATTTTATACTTTATTTATACATGTGTGTATATAATTATGCAGATAAGCAATTTATATTGTTTTCCAGCATTCAATGGCACAGCCAAGCCTAGGAATTGGACTGTACCAGTATGGAAGTTAGATAATGGTTTTGAAAATGAAGATTTGATTGTTTGGATGAGAACTGCTGCACTGCCAACTTTTCGAAAGTTATATCGACGTATTAACCATGAGCAGGAAGGTTATAGATTAGGTCTTCCTGAAGGACAGTATGAATTAGACATAACTTACAGTATCCTTTATTTTCATTTTTCCTTTTTTAGTTGGTTGATGAAAAGTTAAGTGTGCTGCTTCTAAAATTAATTTTCTAATCAGTAATTAAACTTTTTTTTTGTCTTTATGGATCTAATCAATTTTTCCATTTAACTTTTTAATACAGATATGACTAAAGTTTCAAATTACATAATTAGTATTGCATAAATAACTGCAAAGATTTTTATATTTTTTATTGTACATTTTACTTTTATTTTTCAAACATCAAAAAATTAAAACACATTTCTACTAAGTTTTAGGTACTTTTCTAATTCTCAAAATGGCTCTCATCTGTTAATATATAGATTAAATTAAATGTTTGTCGACATCTATAGTTATTAGAAATTGTAACTCTAGCAAAAGCTTCCTCAGTTTTTGTAAAATGTATATTTAAGATGTTATTCATAGGACACTTATATTCATTGAATTGAATTCATGACATTAGAAAGAATTCCTTGTCATATTTTTTAAACTAATTTTGATTTTGATGAATCATGCAATTTCACCATAGAATACAATCACTATAAAGGGTTGTACTTATTTGGGAACTATGTTCAAGTAGGTATTAGGTGTTGGAGTTTTTTCTACAAAGATGAAGAATGCTTCCTAAGGTATTATTGCGCAGACCATATTTTAGTCTCCTGGATGTATTGGATAAGCATAATAATGCTTTAACCCTTTGGTATTTAAAAGAAGGGAAAATTCATTTTAGCACTTATTCATCTTCCAGCGATCAATAATCTTTTGTTGATGATTACCTGTTCAATGTAAGTTTTTACAACTGATGGACAGAATTGTGCATTTCTATTTGTGAATAGAAACGCACAATTCTGTCCATCAGCTTTAGAGACCCATATTCAAGGTATGCAGGGAACTACACGGGTTATCATTCATTGAAGAAAAATCACAAAAATTGTGATTACTAAAAAAGTTACAAGCAGAATTGAATAAAACTGACCCACAGTATACAACACATAGTAAGGTATAAAATAATATGAAAAGAAATTGCCAGCCAATTTTAGTGTTATAAAAATTAACATATGTATGAAATGAACGAATCGAATATGCCAGCTTAGCACAGGAAATTAAGCCTTCAGTATGGAGTATGATCTTCCAATACAGCATTTACAGCAATATGGATGCTGTCAACTGTGTGGTTTATCAGTTCTGTAGGAAATGAGAGCCATTGCTCTTGCAAAGCAGTTGTGCGTGTGGCAGGGGTCTGAAGGGGATGATTGAGAGCAGCTATACATCTTCCTAAAGCAACCCAAACATGCTCGATAGGATTCAGGTCCAGTGATCAAGCTGGCCACTCCATGCACTAAATTCTTTGCTGCTAAAAATAATCATTCCAAGCCCTGTGGGATCTAGCGTTGTTGCCCTGTGGCAGGAAATCATTACCCCTTGCTCCATTATTAACCCCTTAACTGCCGCGGGCGTATATATACGCCTTGCTCAGCCGATGCGTTAACTGCCTCAGATGCGCAGCCGATGCGTTAACTTTGCGAATAATTTTAGGTGTAGCAGCGCAAAGCAAATGATAGCAGTTTGGAAGGACGTATATATACGCTTGGGGCAGTTAACGCATCGGCTGAGCAAGGCGTATATATACGCCCGCGGCAGTTAAGGGCACACATAAGCATCAAGGATGTCATCTCTACAGTCCTGAACATTCACAGTTCCATCTGGAAAGACATGAAGGTCTGTGCGTTCACCCAAAGAGATACAACCCCAAATACTAACATTGCCTTCTCTGTATGCATATCTTTCATGGATGTTTGATGAATGGTAATGAGTTCCAGGTTTTCTCCAAATCAAATAATGCCTGCTGTCACTTTAGATGCTAAATCTGGATTCATCCGTAAAGAGAAAAGCCCTCCATTGATCAGCCACCCAGAGGATATGTTGAAGTGCCCACCTGAAATGTTACTTTCTATGATGTAATGTGAGCAGCATGCAGATGGTTTGTTGCCTCACGTACAGATCTCCTTCATTAAACCTATGCACAGTTGACGTTGACATCAGCCTTCTGATGGCTTTAGCAGGGTAGGATCTGGAATGAGTTGGAGTTATAGTTCTATTCCTTTGTGTGCATAACAACAAATATTGGTCATTGGTGCTCGTTGTGCAGTTGGCTGTCTTTGGCTGAACCTCCTGGAGGCCTAATCTGTGGTTAAAAATTGTTACTAAAGTCTGTGAACCACAGAAGGACTCTCATTTGCCTCTAGTCTCCCAATAACTCTCCATTGCAGTTCTCTAGGCAAATGAGGTCATTGTTATGAATCGGCTATCCTAGATTTTTTATTCAGCTTCGCATAGGGAATATGCAGGCTTGCTCTCAAACTTGCAGTTTTATGCTTCTTGCATATGACATAGTCTGATTGCAGTTTTACTCAGCAACTCTTGTTTGACAACAGACTCAAATTTTATATGGATTGGCTTATTTAATGAGTTATCATTATTTTTGTGATTTTTCCTTAATTTTTCTAAAACCAGTGTATTTGGTAGGCTGTATTCAATCCATATTCATGATGGAATTGATGGCCTCAAGATCCTTTGTAGCACAGTGAAGCAGTCTGCACTAATTTCGGGCCTCAGCAAGGCATTATGTAGAAGTATATATAATGAATGATACGAAATAAATTAATTCTTGAATAAAACCTACTGTTATTACTTGCCCACAAAATTAAATATGCTCCAAGTGCAAAAAAAATTTCAAATAAATGTGTACTCAAAGAGTTAATTAAAAATATAGAGGCCATTTTGAAAAATCATTATATAACTAAAGATAATGGTATTGTTATAATTTTGGTAAATCTTATAAGCATCAGTTGTGCTTATTATAAAATTATTTTTGGCCCCCCATTGAAAGACCTTTAGCAGACTAAACCAATGCATTAATTAGAATTTTCATTATACAAAGCCTATGTAAAAAGCAACTTATTTTTTAATTAAAAGTTATTATATAACCACAGTTGACATGATCAGGAAGTGTACTTTGTATGATTCATTTTTAAACTAGAACTATATAGCAGCTGTTAATCATTCAAAATGTATTTGGTGTAGAAATCTTTTTAAGCACTTGAATTTTGTTATTATAAACAAGATTTATAATATAATCTTATTATAAACAATTTTGTTATTATATGCAGATTTTCTAAATGTTCATTATATTATTCAGATTTCTGAAGGTTTATTGTAAATATTTTCCATTATGAATTGCATGGTTACATACATTGGTATGACTATTTGATACTCGCAGGTAAAAAATAGGTAGTGTAGTTGCATCCTTTTCAGGAGATTCTCAAATTTTTATTAGTCATGTAGTGAAGATTTTAATTCATGTAAAGTTGCATGCTAAATTCTCTGTATTTTTTTTAAATCTAAAATCCTAATTTTATTTTATATACTATTAATTATATTTTTCTTTTCTGTAAACTGATTTCATTAAATTTGAATTCTAATTTCATCAACTTATTTTTACATTTAAAGTTCATATATATATAATTAATTTTATCTGTCATCAGATTTTGTGTATTTTATTTAAATTTCTTTTACTTCATGTAATTTTCTTTTAAATATTTCCTCTGAAAAATAAGAAATCCTAATGCAGTTGAGGTATTAATAACTTGCTTTATAAAATGGTAAAATTTTTTCAAATGCAGAATATAATACAAATATAGAAACTTAAAGATTTTTGTAAACACTGCATGAGGTTTTTTTATGGTCTTTTATATGTGTGATCTCGATATAAGCAAGTTTACATTATAAAGTCCTCCACAAAAGCATGACTTATTCAACCGGTATCCCTAATGTGTTTTCAGTTACATTACCTTTTCTGAATAAAAATACAATAATTACATTTATTGCAAGGTGCATTATGTACACATAGTTATTTTATTTGTGGTAAAAAAGTAAAAAGTAATTAAGAGGCAAAATCTTAATTATTTATTGTATTTTATTTAAAATTAAATATTAATGTAATAATATATTTAAGCTTTTTGTATTGTTAAATCATAAGCAAAAATTTACCTTAATCAGTTCTCAGGGTACAAGGTCACACCTTTCAAAGGAACAAAAAGGGTCATCTTATCAAACACATCTTGGCTCGGTGGCAAGAATCCATTCCTTGGTATAGCTTACATTGTTGTTGGAAGTATTTGCTTATTACTTGCTGTTGTCTTTCTGATTATTCACTTTAAATATGGAAAAAGGTAAGTGTGAAAGAACTTTTTACTGAATATGATAAAGTTAGTGAATAAACCAGGTTATTAGAATAAACATATTTATTTTTTCTTAGTGGAATTCCATTAATCCATATAATTTGGTATTGAAGTTTGAGCAGATCAGAGAATTTTGCAAATTATAGGTTGTCTTTCTGTATTTTGTTTATGTTTCTTTCATTTTAAGCTTTACATTAAGTATCAACTTGTGTTCACATAATTAACTAAACTACAATGTACTCCTGATTATGTGGGTAATGCCGGGGAAGCAGGTCACAAATAATACAAACTGTCAATTTTCTTGCATATTCAGCACTCGTACAGTCCTTAAGAGTTCTTAGGTTTTTTTTAATTGCTTTTTAATCCTTAAAAGTCCTTAATTTCAGCCAAAATGGGTAGAAGGCCCTTAATTTTAATTATCTAAAATTTCTGTCTGTTTTTACGACTGCTATTTTGAGTGCTAATATTAATGTACAAATTTTGGAGGAATATTTTTTGCGATTCACTGGCAAATATGGCTATCTTTTGAATGAGCTCATGGGTAATAATTTGTTCCTATTTCTAATATAAATGGTGAGATATTTGATTATCTGAGCAAGAAGCGAAACATAAGCATTTCAAAATTATTTCATTTTTTCTATGAAGAGAGCTTTTAAACAACTTTTCACTTTTGGGGATGTGAATTCTTTTATAAATCTAAATTTGGCTCTAAATTTGGCAAGTTATAACATTTAAGCGATTTTAAGATCAGTTTCTATTAGAAAATTTTTAATTCCGAGATATGGGAATTTTTCGGTAATTTTTGAAGGCATTGTAGCATTCATAAATTTCATTAAAAAATGGTAATATGTTAAAATTATATTTAAAAAATAACATGAAAATAAAGAATTTTAATTTTTTGCTATCATATTATAAAGTTCCATTTTGGCCAATAATTATACAATATTTTGAATCTGAAAGAAAAAAAAAAAAAAAAAAAAAGTATAATGCTATAAAGCACAATTTACAAAACAATTTTTAGCAAAATGGCTGTGTAATTAATTAAAAGTATCTTTAAAAAAATTTTTTTCATGGTATGAGTTTTTTCCATGTTATTGTCTCAGAATATTCAGAACTCTCAGAATATGCATAAGTTTTCTCTATAAAATTAATTTTAAACTTTTCCCCCTTTTTTAAAAAAAAATATGTCTGTCTTTTTGCTGTCATAGGATTGTAGGGGTAATTTTTCTTTAGGATTTTAGACATTGGAGCTTGGAAAGTTTAGAAGAATTTGAAGGCAAGATTTATACACCCATGATTCTAGGAGATTCCAGAAAAATTTGACTAAATGAAAAATTCCTCAATGGTATTAATATGTAATAGATTATTTTACAGAAAGTTTGCGATAAATTTCTTACTTTTTTGAAGAACTTCTGGAAGAACATAATATTTGAATGTTTTCTTCTTATACTAGAATTTTTTCTTAACATGTTCATCTTCGCTTTATTTTCCATACTTTTCACTGGACACAAGCATGGAAATCACATGGACAGACATTATAGTAAGGAATTTTTTCATTAATAAAGAAATTAAAAACTGACAATTGAAAAGATTCATCTAATGTGTCTTAATGCATCATACACAGGGCTGAATTTTGAATCTCTGTGGATGCCTAAATTCTGTGGATCCTAATTCTGCTTCCAATTCTTTGGTTGGTGTCTAAAATTCTAGAAAAGTTGTGGAAAAAATTGTCGCTAAAAAACAATCTGCCACATCAACTTTGTAACTGGCCCTTACCATATATATTTCATATTTCTTTTGATTATGCAGATGACTAAAGAAATAAAATTAGCAGCTTTTTATATACATTCAAATGCATTTAGCTTTTTTAGAGTAATAAAATCCAAAAATTTTAAAATGAAAAGGAGAAATGTGTTGAAGAAAAACTGAATACATAAAGAGAAAGAAAATTTTTCTTCAAAGATATGTACAGTTGCTATGTAAATTTTAAAGATATGTACAGTTGCTATGTATTGCCCACTTTTTTATAATTTCAGCCTTTACTCTAATTTCTCATTTCTATTTTCTCACTAGAATGCAAATCACTTAAACAGTTTTTAAACTGAGGTTTTTGGAGTGTTAGACATAGTGTGTTTTTGTCTTCCACTTGCTTGCTGCATTAGTTCCTGCCAGCTTTGATAATTTGTAATTATTCATCTTTGCAATTGAATTTATGATGATAGAGTTACTTATCCTGCATAAATTAAAATTAAATTGTGTAGTCTTTGACCACTAGTCTACATTTTTAGTTTGAATTTGAATCTTCTTTAATTACATCACCATGAGTTGTAATTGATTTTCTTAGCATCAGAACATAAATGCATGTTCTAAGGTTTTTTTTTTTTTTTTTTTTTTTTTAAATAAGAGCCTTATTTAAACCTTTGTCTGATTTTATTGTTACTTTCAGACATAGCAATAATTTGCTCCATGTCTATGTGACGATTTTGGTCTTTTAAACTTTTACCAGATCAAATAAACTCTCATAGGTATATTTTGGAGAGGTTGACAAGTAGGAGATAAAGCATGCAGAAGCTAGTGAGAATATTGGTTTGCTTATTGAGGCAAATTTCTAATTGTTAGAAAAGATACTTAAAGAAAATGAAATTGGTATAAATTAGTCAATATGTCTGGAAAGGCTTCAAATTGAAAAGACACATTAATATTTTGTTGCTATAAAACACAAATATTTTGTAGGTTTTAATATGTAGTTATTCTAATATCATTTAAGAATCAATGTCTACATATATTTTAAACTGTAAATATTTATTATATTATGATTTTAATAGGGCTTTTTTAACAAGTATAGTTTAAAAAAATAAATAAAATTTAATACTGGGCATATAAATCCAGTTTAATTAAATTATTTATAACTAACTGCTTACCCTTAAAAATTATCTTTACATATTAAAGGGGAGTTATTGCCCTTCATTTATCCCCCATGGTCACAAGATAAAACCAAAAATTGTAAAATTAATGCAAAACTTATTCTTCACATCTAGAGAGACTTGAAATAATACAAAACAATGTATCACTCTGGTGCTTTAGTGGCTTATTGGAACTTTAAAAGTATATTAACTGAGTTACAACCCCAGGAACTCTACACAAAGCTACAGCACTAACTGCGTCAGACAGTGCACAACTAACTTACAAAACTTGCCAACCTTGCCTAGAGCTTTCAGTTTTGTTCTGATTAGCAGGTCTCTCTCTAGGCAAGCAGCAGCAGTGGCAACAGCCAGTCTTCTATTACGAATCATGATGTTTATGATTTTACTTCACGTTTTAATCTATGACATTTGATATAAAATCTGCTTACTATTTACAAAACCTCTAGGCTGAGCAAATATATGATAAAATAAGACAAAAGAAAAATCAACATAAAACTAATTGTTAGTAAAAGGTAAATAAAATGTCACTTATCTTCTTTCAAATATGTCCAACTATTATAAGTGTAAAATATTTAATGCAACTTTTTTATTTTATTCTAAAACTTATTAATAGTTATGTTAATTATTTTTAATAATAATTATTATTTTATTTTTAGGATGATATTACAAAAGTGAACTTCAGGCATAGATAATATTTTTAATTGAATTTATTGAGTTCCCATTTGCTTGACTTAATTTCCATGTGCAGAAATGTGTACGAACCCTGATATTGTTTGTGTTTATTTATTTTTTAAAAATTGATTGCTTTATTTTTGAGAACATTTAAATATTTGTTGAATTTGACTGTGTGCTTTTCAAAGGGCTATTTTATCATTTTATTTGAATCCCCTTCGGTCGAGAAGTCCAACAGAATTTCTACGGAAGTGTTATATAAAAACATTATAAAAAAATTCATATTTAATAATTACCACTGAACATCATTTCTGTGAAATAACTAATGTAAAAGTTCATACTTGATTATGAGGTAGATAACTGTGTGTATATGTCACATAACAGAACATTTCAGCCAATATTGTATCAATCACAAAACTGTATAAGAGTAGTTATCATAGTGTAACACAAATACAAAATATGCAAAACAAATCTAAATTTCAAAATTGCGTTGTGTGTAGGCAAAAAAAAAAAAAAAAAACCATTCTAGTTTAAGGTCCAGTGTAAAGAGTTAATTACAAACAGGATAATAGAATCAAACGTTTATTTATGGTAGGAAAATATTATGTTACAATTCAGAAGAGAGTCATGACACTCACTATTTACGTTACAATTAATACGTGGTGGCTGGATATTGAGCATAGCTGAAGAACACTAAATAAAACACACCTTTAAACAAACAGGGTTGGTGGGGGCCCCAACACCATAAAGGAATTCACACAAAAATCTTGAGACTTAACAAGTAGTACGACTTAGGCATCTTTACAGACATTTCGGCATAACTGTGGGAAGGAAAAGATAGAAGTTAGCATAACTAAAAAGAAATCAAGTCATGATATCAACATCGTCGAGGTCTGGCTCCGTTCTGCCGCTCAAACAGCAAATTCCGTCAAGAAGGTTCGCTGAGGTTAACCTCTATACACCATTTCTGAGAGGATCACGGATCACTTCATCATCCCTTCATGGCTTAGCATATGGAGTATGATGTATATTTCCCGAAACTCTCAGGGTCTGCCAGGCAGAAGATAGAAGAAGATCTCATCTAGTCGCTGCAGCTGCATCAAGCCTCAGAAGAAAAGTGTCAACGTTAATCCATTCCTCCTCTCCCCCCGAAAAACACTGCGCAGCCGCTTTAATAGCTGGCGCTTTTTCGAAAATTTGGCGTAGATGTTGATCAGCAGGAAGCCAAAACCAGCAACCCAATGCTAGGAATCTTCACGGGAAGGGGTTTCCCCTACTACCAGACTAGCCGTTTCTCGCTATTCCATCATTCAACTTCCAAGGCCACACCAATGTGTCATCAAAACTGCAGATGGAAAAGGGGGGGAAGAAACTAGCCTCGCTCCAGGGTCCCAGTCGATAATGCAGATCTTCTAGCTCAACGGATATTTTTCCCCACCGTAAGTATGCTGTAGAACATCTCCATGCTTGCCTGGTCCAGCAAAACAGGGTCCTCTTTTCCTGAAAAAACATATGGTATATTCATCCAGCACTTCGCCCCCCACATATGGTGGAATGCTTGGGAGAAGGAATTTTGGGGTGCAGTACAACCGCTGATAAGAGTTTCTGCTGAAAGAAATCCAAGCCGAGGGCAAGGGGTGAAAAATCTCTGAAACAAGTTAATACAAAAATGACCTTGGGAAATCAAAAATGAAACTACTAATTACACAACATTATAAGTCATAATAAAAATGTCAGCACTGTAATAATTGTTTCTTCAGCCACAATTTATCTTCAGCCACAATTCTTCAGCCTCAAATTAAAATTAAACAACTTCAACTCAAGAAAACTTTTTAAGCAACCTAACCAAAACTTAAAATTTACAAAAGTTACAAATTTAAACTTACAACCAACTTTAAACAGAAAAAAAAGAAAAAAAGAAAAAAGAAAAAAAAAGAACTTCAATTACAAATCAAAACTGAAATAAGCAAAACAACTTAAGCTTAAAAAAAAAATAAAACTATTAATACATAACACTATTATGCAGACATCTGCCATGTTACAAAAGGCCTCCACATCGAACATCTGTGCATGTCCTTAGAAATATGAAGAGTTATGCATTCATGTTATATCTGCATTTGCAAAATGAATTCATTATAGTAGTGACATGTATGTTTTCTTTTCTGTAACACTATTTTTGATTTGCCATGTATTTGAAAAACAGCTCAGAATTAAACATTTAGGTTGAAGAATCCGACTGATAGATTGATGGAATATATGCTCGACGAAGCATTTGTATAGTCTGGCATGAACTACTAGATTTATTAGCAATAGGTTGTGTATGCAGAATTATCATTACGTTTGAAGAGGTGGTTTTAAGAATTTTTAATGAACCTCTTTATGAACCTTTTTATGAACCTCTTTATTTATGTCCAAACTTATGAGGACAGTTCGAGAGATAGTTTGAAGAACATTCAATGATGCACATGAACTTCGTTATCTATGTCCAAAATTATCAGGATGATTCAAGAGATAGTTTCGAGAATTTTCAACGATGCACTTGAACTTCATTATCTATATCCAAAATTATTGGGATGATTTGAGAGATACTTTTGAGAATTTTTCAGTGATGTGCAGTATATTGAATACTAAAATATTTTGGCAGATTCTGTTGGATACCACGCTGAAATACTGTATCAGTCAGGGCCATCATGACAGATACTAATTATTCAAATAACACTGAAATTGCAATTATATTCTTTTTTTTTTTTTTTTTTTTTTTTTTTGGTGAATTCTTCTGTATTAGGCATCAGTAAGAATAGTTATTTCAAAGTTTTTGGGATAAATGTTTTAAAATTTCTTTTAGGATTGAAAGATTCGAATGATCTCAGTATGTTGGTTCTTAGGTTAATTGTGTGGAGAAACTTAATTTCATTTTAAACAAAAGCCTTAACAAGTTAATAGCTTGTGTCTTAATCAAGTTAATAGCGTATTTTTAAATAAATATTCTTTCTGGATTAACAGTTTCTGTGCAGTGTGTATTGATGTGTATCATTTAATTTATCCTCTCTAACAGACTGTTCATGAGTTGAAAGAAGACAATTTTCTTTTAATAATTTTTTAATGTAATTAAAAAAGTTAAGTAGACCAATGAATATGCTTCTGATTCATTTCACTTCTACTAAAGTAAACCAGCAATAATTATAAAGGGAGAGATATAAAGGAAATAGAAGGAAATATTTGGTTTCTCTACTTGAAGGAAAATGCTCAGTTGCACAGTACAAGAGTTACAAATTTTTATTTTCTTGGGACTTAACTTTTCTGAATACAAAGCAGTAGATATAAAATGTATTTATCCATATTTATATGTAATCATGCTAATCACATATTCATTAATTTAAAAAGTTCCTTTATATTCAAAACCTGTAACTTTTTTTTTTTTTTTTTTTTGAAATGATATAAATTTGGACTTGAGTTTCTCAAATGTTCTTAAAATCTATCATGTGGCTCCTATCCTCTTTAAGTTTGGCCATTCCTGGTCTATACCAAGGGTTCTTAACTGGTGGGAAACGCATTATCCTTTTACTGGCCTGCTAGTGTTTAGTTTTAGGTTATGAATATGCAAAGAATTGTTTTATTCAAATTTTGCTATTTATCACCATTTTCTATCCTTTTTGTTAAACACATTAAAAAACTTGAGTTTTGGAAAGGAGGGGGGAAATAATGGGCAATTGCACAATGATTCATGAAGTTGTCAGTTAATGCTCGAAATGTAAAATATATAATTGCCTTTCCATTAATATTTACATGCTGTATATTTGCAAAAAAATTGTAGTTAATTTTTTTATGTAAAAATCCATTAAAACTAATTTAACAGCTTCTCTAGAAGAATGTGTATTGTGTTATATTATCATTTCCATTATTTAAATCAATAAAAATATTAAAAACATAGAGCTTTACCTTATTTAATTTTATAGGTTTAGCGAAAATATTACTTAACTTTAAATACATGCCAGATAATCTTAGTCACTTGCTCTTTCTGAGCATGTAAAATTAAGTTTGAATATCTAGAATTCTGCTGTATGTTATAGTTAAAATTTACTTTAAATATAAAATTAGTAAAGTATGAGCTCATTTGTATTTTTTATTTAATATAAAATGTGATTATATAAAATAATTTCAATGACTAACAACTTTAGTATTAAAATATTTTATATTGCAAATTTGAAGTATTTCACTCTATTCTTTGTTTTTTCAGTACTCATGACTTGGTGAATATATCGCAAAGAACACCATACTGAAGAAATCATCCTAATTTGTCTTGTGTGCATTCCATATCATATTTAAAGCCTATCACTTCAAAATATTGTGGTTTTTCTATGAATAGAAAAAATGGCCTTGTTTGTCTGGTATGATAGCCACATGTCTTAATGTACATAATTATAGTTTCTTATGTATTATACCTGTAAATAGAAAAATTTGCATATTTTTTGTTTGACTTATGATTTGAATTAATTTTATTTGTAATGTTGAACACTGCTTGTAAAAATTTTAATTATAATGTTGTAATATTGAACTTATCCTAAATTCTGTATGTGTTAAAATCTGTTTAGAGTTTAATGATTTATTGTGTGTCCATGGATTTTCTATAAATCTTTATGTGCTAAAAATGTAAAAGTTATTATAGAAGTGAATAAAAACTTTTATTTATTGAGATTAATATTATGAGTATTTATTTTAATAGTATGAATAAGTGGTCACAGGTAATATTTTTTGTTTAGAAGTTTCTCTGTTAGAACTTTTTTGTTTAGAAATTATTATATTTACTCACATAGTTTTCTCTCTTGTGTATCCTCCTCCCAGCATTTCAGCACAAAGTTCTGAAATTTATTTTTAAATAATCACATAATTCCCCCCTTCTTATTTTAGAGTGTGCAAAAAAAGCAGACTCCCCTAAATTTTAAAATAAATTTGTCATCACAGTCATTGTTTTCATCTTACTAATTGACTTGCTTGTGGATTTGAGGTGGAAGGACTCTGAATGGTGAAGCAATAATAGTGAAGTTTCAAGAAAACAAATACTCTTGATGGTTCTGAAGATTGTTTGGGTTTGGGAAGAGAGACATGTTGGTGAAGAAGACAATGGCGACGACTTAAAAGTTGTAGCAGATGACACAAACAGTAATTAAAGCAGCATCAAATGATTTAAGGTCTAGGCAGTAGCTATAGACAACAAAAACAGTGATTGACTCAAGATACAGGAAAACAGAAGTGAAGATATCTTATAGAATCCTGTGGTGTAAATATTGCTATGTATTCTTATTGGATTATAAATTTTTTTAACTCTCCAAACATAGCAAGTTTGGTCCTGAAATATCACAATTCCCCAAAATGTCATGACTTAGCAGTATTTTCTTGATTATAATTCCAAAACTTTGTACCCTGACTCCTCTTTTCACTTTGTACCCTGACTCCTCTTTTTCCAATATACACCAATCCAAAACCAAGTTGATCAAGATCTGACAGAAATTCATGTGTTGTAAAAAATGGGTAAGCCATTCTTTGATATGGAATTTGTATCTGCAACATATAAATACTCATTTGATATATAGTTACTGTAATTGGATTTCAGGAATTAAATTATTTGTGTAATTTTCACCTCTTAGTTTTCCTGCAGTAAAATTAGTAAATTGTAAGGAAAATATACACAAGGAAATATGGTAATTTAGATTATGAAATGAAAAACAGGAACATGTTAGTATATTGTAAATTTTAATACATTAAGATATCACAGAATAGTGATTAAGTTATACTTCAATAAACTTAATGGTTTTATATATTTATTTTTTTTTTTCGTATATTTCTTCAGAGTAGCACTTAGTTTTTAAACTCAGGAATGGGATCATTAGATTTTTTTTAACTGTCTTATCTGTTTTTCCCAGCATTTGCTCTCCTTTTACTGCATAAAATTGTATTTAGAATTTAAAAAAAATTTTGTGATTTTTTTTTTCTTCATCTTTCCAAGTAAATTTAAATGTTTTTTTTTTTTTTTTTTTTTTTTTTTTTTTTTAATTTGGGGTGTGTTGAAATGAATTTTGATATAATGTGAAAAGCTGAAATGATGCAGCACATTTTATCCAACAAAATTATTTTATAGATAATAATTTTTATATTCTTAAATTTTCATCTAGTCAAAAATTTGTAAATATTCTGCATATAAACTACACATAAATATGATATCTAACATGAAAAAACTTAGATTTGCCCATAAATATATATATCATGGTTTGTGGTAGCATTTAGTGGACTTAATATTTAATTTTGGCAAATAATCATTTTTCTCTTAGTGAAATATTATTAATAATTATTGCTTATGAGAAATAATTATGATTGAATAATATAAAACTATTTGAAAAGTCTGGTACTAGCCTTATTAAAGAATATTCTTTTAAGATTTGAATTTTGTCTTTCAGTGAGAGTGTCTTTCACTTTTGTGAAACTTTGTGTCAGTTAATTCTACTCCATCTAGTTTACTTAATATAGTGTCTTGTTCAGATGGAAAAAACATATCTATTTTTCTTTCCAAGTATCCCCCTCTGTTCTTAAACTGGTTTTTAACAGCTGTACCAAACTGTCATTTGAATATCAGATGTGTTCGTTTCCTTCGCCTATCCTCTTACTGTAAAAAATACTTGAAGGGTAGAACGGTGAAATATAAAACTGTGCTGTAAGTCATGCAAATCAATGTATAACCGAAGTTATGCAATATATGAAAAAATATTTTACTACTAAAACAAATGAGATTGAATTAGGGCCAAGATGAAACGATGTATAAAGGTAAAAGAAATATAAACAAGAAACATATTAATGGTGCTTCCACTAATATTTGATACTTATATTCCCTGAAAATGGTTTGTATAAAACATTATGAAATATTGCTATTTTACCCCCCCCCAAAAAAAAAACTTTTTTGAGTTTATTGGGCAAGCAATAAATAATATGAAATTACAGGTTTTAAACTTTTCCCGTGCTCCAAAATTCACATTAGGGTCTATAGCATTTCCATAGTAGGAAGTTTAGCAACTATAAAAAACAAGAAAAGCATAAAAATGTCACCATCTTCCAAAACCGAGTGTGATGCGCAAACAGAAAATATATTGTAATTTGATTTGAAAAACATTTTTTTCATTTTGCTTAGGAAGCGATAGGCAACTTTTTAAGAGTATAATGATAGAAAATGTTTTAAAAAAAAAACTGTTTTTTCGGTCTCTCCATGTATTCATTTTGTCTAATTACAATAAATAATTTGCAGTAATGCTTAAGTTCAACAATACTGACTTTTCAATTGAAGACAATTAAATTTTTCTGTCCTAGTCCTTTTGATTTTTATTTACCAGTGATATTACTATTGTTGACAAAATTTTTAATACAAAATCCATTACAAAAATATGAAATTCATTTGAAGTAAAACAAGAACCTCAATGAGATATTATACGATCTGTTAATCCAAACTTTTCTATTAAATTCAGCAGTGATTTCAATATGTACTTCGACAATGATGACTAACAATTCTTTATTTTTTTAGAACTTGTAATGAAGGGTCCAAGATCAATATAAATGGTTGCAAAGGCTTGTGGCCTGGGGGAATTTGATGTTAAAAACCCTGTCTTTACACATGGGACTTTGAAATCTTAACATACAATAATAACAAACAAAAATTAAAAAAAAAAAAAATAACTACATAAGTAGGATGAGTTAAAAGGAAATATAATTAAAAGTTTCCTTTAGTCCTAATAAAAATCTGTATAATGCAGTGGTTTACACACTGTTCATGTGCATAGTTGCTTTTTAAGTTTTTCTGCATCATCTTCGTTATTTTCTTCTGCATTTCTCCAAGATTTTATTTGGCTTACATGGATGATAAAGGTGCTTCGATGCAAAAAGCATAAGAATACTTTCATGCACGAAAATGAAAGCTTTTACTGGTGATGTTCTAAAGTATAAGTTTCTCCCGAAAGCCCTTCTGTCACAACCTCTAGACCACGCTACAACTGATAACTTGCGTAGATTTTGGATTCCTTCTGACTACCATTATTTCTGTTTGTTTAAACGATAGAGATCCCAATTTTATCTTGTTATAATAAGTTTTATTTTTTCTTTATATTCTTTTTGTCACTTTTATGGTTCCTTTGGAGCTTCTGCTTCTTCATCAGCAAGTAATGTGAAAGTCCATCTTTGAATCATGGAACATATCCAGCGGTCAATCATGGTACATATTCATGTACTATCTCCAAGAGGGCTTTTCTCAGTAGTTTTATGTATGATGTTATTTAAATTTCTTTTAACGTCTTTAATTTTTCTGTCCTAGTCCTTTTGATTTTTATTTCCCAGTGATATTACTATTGTTGACAAAATTTTTAATACAAAAATATGAAATTCATTTGAAGTAAAACAAAAACCTCAATGAGATATTATACGATCTGCTAATCCAAACTTTTCTATTAAATTCAGCAGTGATTTCAATATGTACTTCGACAACGATGACTAACAGTTCTTTATTTTTTTAGAACTTGTAATGAAGGGTCCAAGATCAATATAAATGGTTGCAAAGGCTTGTGGCCTGGGGGAATTTGATGTTAAAAACCCTGTCTTTACACATGGGACTTTGTTGATGAGGCATTTAACCCTTTCGTGGGCCATGGGAAGACTACTTCCCACCTACATGATCCTGGGAAATACACCTGTGGAAGCGCAAAACCCACTATAATATATTGGCTTGGGTATTATAATGTTGGGAACTCTAATTCCCTCTTCAGTATTGTGCTGCCATCTGTGTTCAATCGATTGAAAACAGAATTGCCACGTTTGTTTTGAAAGTTCGAACGCGTTGTGCGAGATCTGTTCCACTGAGACACCTGTTTTGATTTGACATTTGCATTGCTATACGATTTTGCTACAAATGCAAGTAAAACACTGTTTTTATTATAATAGCGTTTTATTATTTTGTATATTTCTGCAGTAACTATCTAATATTGAATAATAAATAATGGATGAAAAGTGAAAATGCTATTGCATCGTGTATAAAAGCCACGTGATATAGGTATGTTGGAAAAATTGAAATATTTTTGAAAATACATTTGAAAATATCATTCAATTCTACTGAGAAAACAAAGGATTATTTTGGCATGATTTTTACTGAAGAAATTTTACAGAATATTGTTGACGAAACTCATATGCAAAGCAGCCTAAGAAAAGGAAGAGATTGGGTCATACCACAAAAGACATTATCCTGAACTGGAAAGAAATCACATCAGAAGAATTGAAAGCATGGGTAGATATGCAGATACTCATGGGCATACATCAATTGTCTGAGCTGAAAAACTACTGGAGCACAGACCCTATTCTCAATGTTCAATCAGTAGCAAGAATAATAATTGCAAAGAGGTTCAAAAAAAATAACTGAGACTTTACATGTAAACGATAATAGCACAAATCCATGTGGGCAACTTGGGCATGATAACCTCGATAAAGTCAGACCAATCCTCTCACACCTAAATGATTCCATACCTAAAGTCTACGAACTTTAGTCAACATTATGAATAGATGAATGTATGATAGCTTTCAAAGGGAGAACTTCATTGAAGCAGTATATGCCAATGAAGCCTATAAAAAGAGGTTACAAGGTGGGGTGTTTAGCAGACTCTAAGACTGGATAT